CACCCACACCCTTTTGATGTTACAAACTTGATATGTAGTATCAGCGGTGGACTACGAAGCTTGCCAGTGAAGTTAAAGACATGTATATAATTCGATATCGCAGTTTTAATAAACTTACTTGATTGAAACATAAGCAATAACTACCCTGAAATGAAAAATAGTGTAAAATGAAAACTGAACTGGAATGATAAATGATGCAAAACAAAAAAAAAGAAAGTGGAAAACAAATAGTTTATTAGTAAAATATTATTTGATTTTGTATTTGTTGCTTTGTGACGTATCAGTTTTTGATTTTCTTTTTATCGATGGTGTACTTGATGCAGAATCAGATAGTGTCGAAGAAGTTGATGTAGCAGAAGAAATTGATGAATTTTCAAGAATATTTTGTGCTTCATCAATCATTTGACGACATGAGTATACTTCCAAATCACGATCATCTGTTTCTTCGCTGTCATTTAATTCATCCATACTGATTGTATCCGTTGATTTGATATCACTAGTATTAATTATACTAAGAGATGTTGATGAAGATTATATTGAGTTTGATGTTGTTTGTTGATCAAGTACTTGCTGCATTGTTCGTTGTTTTACAGCCAAACGGGAAAAATAACTTTTTATTTGTGCTTGTGTTAAACATTCATCATTGTTGAATACGGAACTGCCATTACTTGTCAACATTTCCATATCTTCAGCAACTCGTGCTGGGTCCCATTTCACTATAGTAAAATCATCCATCTGTAAGCTAATGTGGTTATGTTACTCACTTCCAGTTTCAATACCTTCGTTGAATTTTTGGGTGTGGGTATGGGTGTTCTTATTCTCATTTCCCGGACCCCACACCCACCCACACTCGCACCCACACTCGCACCCACACCCCACACCCACCCACACCCCGCATTCACACCCACACCCGCCTCTGCTTTTAATTCTTCTGCTAGACTTAGTATTCTTCTAGGACTAGCACTGAAGATACATCTGTAACGACAAACTGGATTGAATAGCTTTTCGCCATTCTCGGCAATGATGTTTATTCAGCTATTTTACATATCCAGAGTGTATCTATTTCACATTCAACACACGCTTATATATGATACAGAAACAAAGGGAGAGAGACAACATAGAGAGAAGAATAGAGAGAGGAAGAGGAAGAGCAGTGAGCCGTGACGTATATATCGGCACAACATCTTGTTTTGGATTTTTGTTCAAAAAATTCAAAATAGATTAAGCCATCTGAATGAGTCCCTTAGCCAGGATGAAACCGGTCATGGCAGCTCAGAAAACTATTCGAAAAACTTGAGAGTTGCATCATGCTAATATTTTTTTATCTTTATCGTGGGGTTTGTATGACATTACCTTCTTTTATTGATAAAATCGATTCTGAAAAATGCAGTATTCTAATTAGAAATAGCTCTGATGGGTAAAATTATTGTAAGATATTGTTTATGTATAAATAAAATCAGCCATATTTGAGATCATACCATATCTCGACACGTGTGAAAGCCAGAGTTTACTTGATTTACTAATTTTATTTTAATTTTTTTACATCAAGCTTGCAAAAACAAAGCCAGTGAACTAGTTTAATCAAAGAACATATCAATTTGATGTACGCTAAAAAGAAAACAATGAACTTCTGAATACGTATTTTTTTTTAAATTTATTAGATTTATTCTAGTATCCGAAGTTGACATGTGTCGGACCAAGATTTTTGATACCTGTCTTGATTCTAGTGATTTAAGTTTTTCTCTTCATATTTTTTATTAAACGGTCAAAAACGATGTCAGCATTTTAATAAAATCCTGCGAGAAATAGAAAAAAGAACTCCATGAAGCTTTTGATTGTGAATTCTTTTTCGATAATATATATGCATTCTTTTTTTTTGTTCTTTTCAGACCAAGAAATACGGACTATTTTCGGTCAAAAAATTCTAGAACATTGTAGGAACTTGAAAATAGAGAAACCAATGACCAGTTCTACACGTTTATGTCATGTTTCAATCGAAAGTAGAACAATATAACCACTCTAGATCTAATCATCGAATTCTTGTTGAAAGTTCATGAATGCCGACCCAAAAATCATTGAACGAATTAGAAAGAGTTCTATTGGTGTTCATTACATAAAAAAATTCGTTGATTTCACATCATAATATAACTAAGGTTGTTTACTAAAACATGATTTAGAGTATAAATACAACAACAATAGTAGATAACAAGAAAAGGTCATGATTGAAGTACATATCATTTAACAAAATATGAATACATTATAAGATGTATATATGTTTAACTATAGTTTATCGTATCAGTCAATCGAAACAAAAGCAGTGAATGAGATTGCCCTAATAGAAAAAGATATATGAATATTGTACCTATGACCCTGAAAGAATGCGAAAAAACATCGATACATGAAAAGAGCTTATATATATATATTATATGCTTTTATCAAAGAAAGAAAAGAAGAAAATAAATATAAGATGGTGCGAGGGCAAGAGAAATGTAAATGTATATATGCGAGTGTGATTTAGCTATCCCAAAATAAAAGTTCTGAACCAACAAAATTACAAATTTGTTTTTTGATTTAAATTGAATTGACTTATTCAGATCTTGTCTTCTGAAAACTTTATAAAAGCATATCTACAATTTCTTTGTCGTTATGTTGACATAACAAAATAGATCAAGCCCAATTATCTAATGAAATAAGATTGTTGTTCTATTTCTTTGTCTTGAACAATAGCAAACTTAGAAGATGTACTTCTCTTATAGATATTTATCACTGCAAAAAAAATTTATCATAGCTACTAGAATAAAAAATGCTGTCGAGTTGTCATAGCATTCAAATCGAAGTAATGAATTAGCATTTTTTTCTTTTTGTATTATTCGGTAAGACTCACTTATGAGAGAACTACTCGAAATAATACCTAGTGTTTTAACTTACAACGAATTCTTTATAAGGCTATGATAAGCCTAAAAACAGCGTTTCTAATGGAAATCTAAAATACAATGTACTGTACACTCTATTTTCTTAAAACACAATGTATGTGTACACTTTATTTTTAAATGGTAAGTGTACAAAATGTACTCAATCAAAGGTTCATTTACTAGAAAAACATGAAAAATAAATCAAGTTCATTTTTTTTTCCTTTTATAAAATAATACATCAATTTTAAACAAACAAATAATAGATAAACAAGTACAATTTACATTTGATAGTTTCATAAATACATAAACTGTAAATATAGAAAACTGGAATAAGAAATCAACATAAAATTTTAATATAGATTACTATGTAATATACAATGTTCTCAATAAGCAACTCTATTATATTTCATTTTCATCACTGTCAATATGCATATCGATATGATCTGAACTGAGGGTGACTGTATGTTTTCCATATATCGCTCAGTTTCAGTTGTACATTACTATTACTCATAATTTGTTCATATGAAATCTGAAATTTCAAAAATATATTAAAATTCTTTTTAAGGTAAAGAAAAATGAACGATAAATTTGACTAGACTCGTCGAAAATTAACATTAAAATTGGAATGCTTGATATCGATATAGGAATGAAATGAAGAGAAAAAAAGCCAATCATATTGCGCAAATCACAGAGAGGACTAAAAGATGCACCTATTATCGATCACTTCAGAGTAAATGTGTAAGAATAAAAATACTTCTCAATATCAAATAAAAACAAAGTGTATATTCACTTGCCAAAGTGTACCTTGTACACTCTATTTTTTTAAGCAAGTGTACCGCAGCGTGTATTTTTGTAATCGCAGGTGTCCCGTACATTTTACTTCTGCTGGGTACACCTGCCATTAGAAACGCTGCCTAAAAATTGTTTGTTCCCATGGACCTATGAAGCCGAGTTAAGATCGTTTGAATCAATTTTCGATTTACTTTTAAACATACATCGAAAGAAAGAATTTCCATATGAAATTTAGCTCATTGATAAATCGAATGACTCGTTGAGCATTCGAAATGAATGTTCTTTTGTTGAAATATCAACAATATATGATCTCAGCCGATAGGTATCATTTCAAGAGGATCTTTCAATTACATGTTGTTACATATACATTAGAAAAATTTGAAAAATGCGATCAGCAAATAGATAACTTGTTGTTTCTACTAATTATATGAATATATTGTTTGATCAATCAGTCGGTTTAAAAATAAATCATTTTTCTCGATGGATACTAACGCCCTCTATATCACTCAAGAAATTTTCTATCAAATATTATCAATCTATCGAAGTATAAAGTTAAAAAATGTTTTTCTTTGAATAAATAAGAAATCATATTATCATCGTATCATTATAAAGATACATGATCAATTAAAATGAGATATACATGATTCATACAAATATTTTACTTTCGATTGTAAGATGTTGCAATTGAAGGTTTCGAAACATTACTTTATATTCTTTCATCATGTCAGCAACATCCAAAGATGATATACCAACTATTGCTCTTGAAGCAACACTTAAACCTACATCATCATCTATTGATCTTTCATCACATTTAATTGTTCGTGGTTATGATTTTAATAAATCATCATCAATTGATTATTTTAATTTATTACGTTCATATTCATCAATTGGTTTCCAAGCAACAAATTTTGGTCAAGCATGTGAACAAATTAATACAATGCTTGAAAGTAATTCAATAATTTTTTTTGGTTATACATCAAATATTGTTTCAAGTGGTTGTCGTGATATCATACGTTATTTATGTCAACATAAACTTATTCATGTTATTGTAACAACAGCTGGTGGTATTGAAGAAGATTTTATTAAATGTTTAGCACCAACATATGTTGGTGAATTTACATTAAATGGACAACATTTACGAGCTAATGGAATAAATCGTATTGGAAATTTACTAGTACCAAATGATAATTATTGTAAATTTGAAGATTGGCTTATGCCAATATTAGATCGTATTGTTAATGAAAATTTAAATAATTGTATATTAACACCATCAAAATTAATTGAAATTCTTGGTAATGAAATTAATAATGAAGAATCAATTTATTATTGGTGTGCTAAAAATCATATACCAGTATTTTGTCCAGCTATAACAGATGGAAGTATAGGTGATATGTTATATTTTCATACATATCGTAATCCTGGTTTAAAAATTGATATATTAGAAGATTTAAAAAAAATTAATAATTTAGCTGTACATGCTAAATCAACTGGAATGTTTATTTTAGGTGGTGGAATTGTCAAACATCATATTTGTAAGTTATTCTCAAAGAAACAAAAAAAAAACAAAGAAGTGATATAATTAAATAACGAGAATTGAACAAGATAAAATTCAATCAAGTAGTAGTATAAGTGAATATAGAACTTTTCGAAGGTTAGAATCATAAAATTATGTGTTTCATTAGATTGATGGATTTATGCAGTGCATTGAAGTTCTCGAACAAACGTCAAAATTTCTTCTATTTACTGTTGATGATGAACATAATTGTTTAGTTTAATGAAAGAATGTTTCTAATTGTCGAATCGCTTGATATGATGGTCATTTGATGAGTAGTCGATTATATTCTTTGCTTGTTGAGTTTAGAATCACTAAACACTTGAATAATCGAATGTCAAACTTTTTATCCAATCGAAATAGAGTCATATTGAATTCTTCATATCTTCTTTTTCTAATAACTTTAGGTAATGCTAATTTAATGCGTAATGGAGCTGACTATGCTGTCTATGTCAATACAGGTACGGAATATGATGGATCAGATTCTGGTGCTAGTCCCGATGAAGCTGTATCATGGGGTAAAATTCGATCTGCTGCCAAACCAGTTAAAGTTCATGGTGATGCTACATTGATATTTCCATTGATTGTCGCACAAACATTTGCACAATATGTGCAAAGAAAAACATCAAATAATTCAACTGATTAAAGAAAGAAAAGCAAAAGCAATGCTTTTTATACAATACGAAAAAAAAAAGAATATAAAACAGTTAATATTTTTGTTTTGTTTATGTTAATTCTAGATATTATAATAAACAAAAAAAAAAAGAAACAATGTATTCTATACGTCCTTATAGTTCAGAAACACTTGAATTTGATTTACCTAAATCAATGTATTCGGTTCAACCTCTATTACAACAAACAAAAGTAAATTATAGATTTATATTATTTTAAAATGAAGAAAAAAAAATCATATTTTCTATATCATCAAAATAAAAATAAACTAAATAGGAATATTCATATTAGATTAGTTATATATAATAAATAAAAAGAATCTGAATATTATGTAAAAATCGAATAAATAACTTTATTATTATTTTTTCTTCAATTTAGCAATTAACAAATGATTCAGTATTAAAAGAAATTGAACAACGACAAGATGTTTTACTTGACAAACTTGAACAATTATACAATCAACTTATTCTTTATGAAAAAAATCAAAATTCAAAAGAAAAATCAATACATTTATCTTCGGTACCTATTCGTCAAGAATTAGTTATTCATCTTTCAGCTAAACAACCATCAAAAAATATACTTGATCTTATCGAAAAATTTCATGATAATTTATCAATACGAACATATCGTCATTCATCATTACGTGATATTTCAGTCGATAATTATATTCAAAATTTATCTTCGACAAATAGTCAAAATCAAAAAAAACGTTCATTAGCAATTATTTGGGCTGATGATGATAATCTTCCTTATATGTTTCATTCACAAATGAAAATCAATGATGAACAATCAATTGTTAATTTACTTTCTCATGAATTAACAAACAATAACTGATAGTATATTTTGTTAAAGAAAAAAGAAAAGAAACAAGAGAATAAAAGAATGTATTTCAGCATGTTGTTTTTTTTTTTTCTCACTTAAGCCTATTCCTGATAAATAACATTCACTCTTTTTTTATACTATTTTTATCATCACGAACGAAAAGAAAAAAACGAGAAAGAACGAGAAAAATAAAAATAAACTCAACCTTATTTAGAAGACGCGCAAATATGTATATACGTGCATGCTGTCTGTTTATAGAGACTTTAATATTCCATCAAAATGAACGTGTGTACAATGACTAGTAAAAAAAATATAAACAGTAACTTGCTTCATTCGAGAAAATTTTTGTCTACCCTTCGTCTTTCACTACGGGATAAGGTTAGACGTGTACGAAAAAGAAACATTATTATTTTACTACGTCAATGAGTGATTTTTTTATTTCTCTCTATTCATAAATAACTTAACATCGTAGTTCTCTTTTTAGATGTCTGATTCAAATGTAACAACAAATGACAATCAACGACAATCTCGATCTGAATCCTCTTCAACACTGGATCAACAATCGATGAAAACAAATCGTACTGGTAGTATATCAAATGGAAATAATGGAAAAGATCCAACAAATGTTCCTTCGACCTCATCAGTTGATGATCGTGCAAAATATCGATCACCTTTAGTTTCACGTTATGCATCAGCCGAAATGAGTTATAATTTTAGTGATGTGAAAAAATTTTCAACATGGAGACGTCTTTGGTTTTGGTTAGCCAAATGTCAAAAAGTAAATTTATTTATTTATGAACCAACAAAAAAAAACAAACTTTTATAAGCACTAATTTAAAAAAAAAATATTTTAGCAATTAGGTTTAGATATTACTGATGAACAATTAGATGAGATGGAAAAAAATTTAACTAATATTGATTTTGATATTGCTGAAGCTGAAGAACGTCGCCGTCGCCATGACGTTATGGCACATGTTCATACATTTGCTCGTTGTTGTCCAAAAGCTTCACCTATTATTCATCTTGGAGCTACATCTGCTTTTGTTGGTGATAATGCCGTATGTTATATTTCATTGTTCATTTTCTAATAGAACTTCTTTTTTATTAATTTAGGATTTGATTGTTATGAGAGATGGATTTGATATTCTTATTAATAAAGTAAAAAATAATGAAAGAACTTTGTTATATATTTTTTTTAATCCAATATTTAGCTTGTTCGATGTATTCAACGATTAACACAATTTGCACAAGAATATGCTTGTTTACCAACACTTGGTTATACTCATATGCAGTATGTGTTTTGTCTAAAAACGATAGAAAAACTCAATGATTTATGATTGCTTTTAAAAAAAGGCCTGCACAATTGACAACAGTAGGTAAACGAGCATGTGTATGGATACAAGATTTACTAATGGATTTAAAAAATTTTGAACGAGTAAAAAGACAATTAAAATTTCGTGGAGTGAAAGGTACAACAGGAACTCAAGCATCATTTCTACAATTATTTAATGGAGATCATTTTAAAGTAAGATAATGTGTAGAAATTTTATTGAAAAAAATTAATTGTTTGTTTTTTTTGTGGAATAGGTTGAAGAATTAGATCGAATGGTTACAGAAATGGCTGGATTTTCAAAGTAATATTTTATTCATCTCAATAAAACGAGATTTATTTTGACTGATGATACGTACAGAATCTCCTACAGATCATTTGATTTGTATATAGATTCTATTTCCTTTGTTTATGAATTTAATTCATATTTTAAAAATTAACTATTTTATTTAGAGCTTTTATTATTTGTGCTCAAACATATACACGTAAACTTGATGTTGAAGTAGTCAGTGTTCTTTCCAGTTTTGGTGGTACAATTCATAAGGTTATTTACTATTGAATCTTATTAATGGAGATATTTGATAAGTTGAATTTTAGATGTGTACTGATATTCGTTTATTAGCAAGTTTAAAAGAAATTGAAGAACCTTTCGAAATTGAACAGATTGGTATGAATTATTTTGAATAATAAAGAAAAAGAAAACAAATCATTTATTTAAATTAGGTTCAAGTGCAATGCCATATAAACGTAATCCAATGAGATGTGAACGATGTTGTTCACTTGCACGTCATTTAATGACATTAATTAATGATCCACTTGGTACACATTCAGTTCAATGGATGGAACGAACATTAGATGATAGTGCTAATAAGTAAAAATCTTATATATTTTGATTTATTTCAAAAAGAATTTTTATTTTTCTTTATAGACGTATTTGTATTCCTGAAGCTTTTCTCACAGCTGATATAATTTTGTTTACGTTATTAAACATCTCTGAAGGTCTTGTTGTCTATCCAAAAGTAAATAGAATTAACTTAATATAGATCAAATTTTATTGCTGTTTTTCTTCAAGGTTATTGACAAACATATCAAACAAGAATTACCATTTATGGCAACAGAAAATTTAATTATGGCAATGGTAAATTTATTTATATAATACTTCAATTATAAATAGTATCTTTCTAGGTTTCTGCTGGTGGTAATCGTCAAGAATGTCATGAAAAAATTCGTACATTATCACAGAAAGCTGCTGAACGTGTTAAAATCGATGGTTTAGATAATGATCTTGTTGAACGTGTTAAAAGTGATCCCTATTTTGCACCCATTATCAATAAACTTGATGTTCTTCTTGATGCTAAAACATTTATCGGACGAGCACCTGAACAAGTAAACTTACGCATGAAGAAATCTTCTCAAATGTTTCCCTTCCGATTTCAAGGATTTCTATTGAGTGCAATGTTTTTTTTTAACTGAATTTTTTCTTTTTAGGTTTATGAATTTATTTCACGTGAAGTTGAACCAGCCTTAAAAATTTATGCATCAACTGTTACATCAAATTCAACTAAACCAACTGAATTAAACGTTTAATAAAACTAAACCTTTTGGTCGTTTGTCTTTTTCTTTTATCAAATAAAACCCGTAGTCGAATAGAGAAAAAAGAAACAACGTTTTCCTTGTTTTAGATGCAATCGAATGATTATATAAAATTACAAGTTTGTCCAGTTGATGATGGTACAAATACAAAATCAACTGTTGGTGCACCTAATCTTTCATTTATTATTCGTGATGAAGATCATACATTAGGAAATTCACTTCGATATGTTATTATGAAAAATCCAGCTGTAGATTTTTGTGGTTATACAATTCCTCATCCATCAGAATCGAAAATTAATTTTCGAATACAATCAAAAATAAATGAAGATTCGACAGCAGTACCAGCGATCGATATATTTCGACAAGGTTTAGTAGATTTAAAGCAAATGTGTTCGATTGTTTTAGAAAAATATGAAGAAAGTGTGAAAACATTTAAAGAAATGGAAACAAGTTGATTTTGTATCAGTTGATTTTTTTGTTTTTGATGTTTTTATATGTTATTAAAATAAATATGAAGATAATGAAAACCTTGCAAATAGCATACAAGATTCAATCAGTTTGTTGCGGTTGAAAGAAGATCTGTTCAATGAACTTTATATAAGAACTTTTTTTTCAATTAACTATTCTAGCATAATTAATGAATTGAGTACTCTATTATTTAATTGTTGTTTTCTTGCTTTTGAAAGTTTCTGAATTTTGGTAATTACATGTTAAGTTTCAATTGACACTAGAATGAACTGTGACTATTATGAATCTATTCAAGCATAACATGACCAATTTGTTGCCACATTTCTGTCTAATGTAATCGATGCAGTATTTTTCTTAGTAAGAAGTTCTTCTGAAAATTTAACATGAAGGAACACTTTCTCGTTATCTATTTATTTGCATATATTACTATTAGTGAGAAAAGTAAGAACACTCGAAGATTTTTGTTTTTGAAAAAGCCACGTAACACGTCAGATAATAGTATGCAGCTCTTAGTTCTCGATAGTCAGGAATCTAAGGCATGTTTTTAAAAGTAAGATCTTGTTCAACAAGTATCAGGAAAAGTGGCTTTTTAGTCAATGTTTGATCATTAGTGCTGTATTGCTCAAAGCTGATGGACCAACTTGTTTATTTTTTTCTTACGTATGCACTCCTGCGTATTGTCGATAGAATTAGATAAACGTAAATAAAAGTTTATCTTTGTTCGGATGAGGAGTGCCGACAGGTTTTGGGAAAGTTTAAGAGCTTTTACATTGTTGGATTGATGATTTCAGAAATGCATGAAAGAATAAATTATCACTCAGATTGAATTTCATGACTATGCTAGTCTTTGACAAGATAATTCGACAACTAATGAAAAGTTTAAAGTAAGTGAAGAGAGACTTAATGAACTAGTAAGAAATTCGCTTGTCTGTGTAAAGTTTTCCAGAGATCTTGTTGATCAAAACGGTGTGTTTTATTAGCTTTCGTTACAAAACCATTCTGAGCACATAAAGTGGAGTATATTCTGAAAATTTGAAGAAATTCAGATTTATTTCAGTGAAATTAGAAAGTTTTAAAATTTTGATGGAAACGATCGAAAATAGTTTTTTTCACTTACTGTAAGATTCTGTATGTTTTTTGCAGTTTGTTTTTAACAACCAACACAGCGATGAGGTTTAGTCTGAGCGATATTCCATCCTTTCATGCATTTTGGAAAGTATTCGGCCAAACAATATGTAAGTTTTAGAGCTCCTTAAAAAACCGACTGAAACTTCTGACACGAGTTATTCTGTCAAGAACACTCAACATCACATAGCGAATGGAAAAAACCAATAGACTGCTCTGTCAGCTTTCGAAAATAAAATGTGATTGTTCAAAGATCTAGTAAAAATTCGATACTCGTTCTATTTCTGACAAGAGATTTTTGCTATGGAACGCTGAAAACTGCATATCATTATCTTCCGTGTCACGTGAGTTTTTGAAACAGCAATCGAGTGTCTTGACTTCTAGCACAGATAAAAAGTGTATAAAATGAGTGCTTGCCACAAATAGTGGCCGAACTGTTGTAGGTCATGACACATACAGTTCAATAGCCATCAGAGATGGAACGGATATGGTTTGATAAATTTTCCGTTTGATTCGAAGCTTTTTAGACAACTAGATCGATTCGAGGACTTTCCCGTTCAGCTTGATTACGAAAAGAAACACTAACCGATCCCATCTCTGAAAATCACGCTCATCCCTTTTTTCTACTTCATCTCATTACTCCGTTACTTTTCTCCAAGTGCTGTCGTGGAGTATGGATGTGGATGTCGGTTTGGGTCTGGGTTGGGATGTATGTACGTGTGTGTGGGTGGAGAATTGGAGTAATGATGTGTGACAGACTTATGGTGTTGAGAAAAATCACACGTAAACTTGTCCTCTGTGTGTTATCGCGTATGTTCGTGTTTTCGTGGCATCGACTCTAGGCACGATGTCCTGTGTGCATAGTGTGGCTTTGCAGTGAGCGATGGAGCTGTTGGTGGGTGCTGTCTTGGATGTAGGTTTATACTGTTGCGAAGGACGGCGGTCGCTGTTTGTGCACCCTTCAATATCATATTCACCCGCATTCCAAGAAAAATTATATTGACAATTATGATAAGTTTTAGTATCATCTAATAGAACAATTTTCTTATGCTCATGATAATGTAAGCTTTAGTTATTTCAATATAGTACACAATGCACAACTTTTTAGAACAATCGGCCTCTGTTAATTATTTATAATAGAATCTTTGAATAGAGATGCAATAAAATGTTTCATCGTTAGTTCTTGTCTATTTTGAAACAGTTTCAATCACTTCAACTCATACTGAAATGAATATTATTATTTGTATTCGATGCGAAATGAGTTTCGCTAAATGAGCATTAATGTTTTTTCTCCTTTGCAATCATTCGTCGTCTAATCTTTCCGTGAATGTTTTAATGTTGCTATGTACAGTTCATTTCAATAGAATATTTATTTGAAAAGAATTTAAAAAACGAAAAAAAGAGACAGAAGTGAAACAGAAAATGACACCATGCTGCAAAAGTAAGAAACAAATCATTCGAAAAGACAATTAGACAGTGTAGGACATAAGAGAAAAATCAATAACAGATAATCATTCAAATTTTTTCGAAAGCGTTTCACTATAGTTACTTGTTCGTGGTGAGTAACCTCGTGGGAAGATTCAGAAACGAAAAAAACTATTTAGAATGTATATACAGAGCGCAAACACGTTCCAAGTATTAAAAACGATTGAGACAGGCATAAAATTGACATCCATGAGCAACTTTACTTAACATGATCGATTTTTCCACATATGTCAGCTACTGACCCCATCCATTGACTTTTCTGCAGCCATCTAATGATTGTTTGATCGTTTCAATCATTTCACTCCTTTGAAGTGGTCTATGTTGAGTACGATTCGTTCGCTTCATAGTGTCTTCTACTATATTCATCAAGTGCAGTTATGAAGGAGACCACAAACCAAAACGATAGAACTGCGAATTTCATTAGACCACATAAAAACAACAATGATATTATTTAAAACTACGTCTTTGTGTAAAAGTAACAGCGAAACAGCTGCCGGGCACAACCAAACCAATAATATTCAGGAAGAAGAGGGCTGCTCTTGTATGAATACCAATTATATTCTAGGAAGAATATGATCTCCCCGAATACCTAGAATCTGATAATTTGCAAATTCAAAACATCTATCGTAGTACAGGCAAGTCGGTTGCGGATGTGAAAACGTTTGTATGGGAGAAAAGAAAAGCAATAGGTACATCTACACTCACACCCCACACAATACCCCCACACCCGAGCGCGTGTGGGTACAGATGACGATAAGTGTATGAAAGTCTTCTCTTCAGTTGCACCCTCGGTACACTCTTCCCCTCAGAGCTTCACTCTCTCACTATAACTGTGGGACCACCTCCAAAACCGCCATCTTACAATAGTGACTACAACCGTTCCGCACCTTTACTCAAATTCTCGTAAGAAAATATTTTCGTCTCTATACTTGACCAGAAATAACTGCGCAGACGCATAGTTAGCTGCTTCGTTCCTGTTGTGGAGAAGAAGCATCGAAGTAGTTTTTACTTTGTTAATCGCGTTATCGTAGTACGTGTGCAAGAGAAAGTGACAAAGAAGCTAATAGATAGTCGATTGTCTAAGCTGTTGGCTGAACCTTCTAGATCAAAATGGCATATTGCTCAGAGAAATATGTGATGCTTTTCTACAACTGGAAGAATCAACAAACTGTGTTGCAAATCTAGAACGCTCTCATTGCTAAAGATTAATGCTGTGGGATGTGGGTGTGAGTGGATCCAAGGGTGATTGATACTCATACCCACACCCATATCCTTTTCATATTGAAAATACTTAAGTAGATTCAAAAACTCAAGATGATCATAAGAATGCTCAAGCAATATTGAGTGAAGGTGTAACTATTGGTAGAAGTATCTTCTTTTCACCTAAACACCTATACGCTTGGTCGACACATGGCGTCTCTTGTTGGAACAATGACAAACATGTGACTTCAATAAGGAAATATATCAATCTGATGAATTTGTTTAAGACAAAGACAAGAATAGTAGAGACATATCTAAAAAAAGACATTCCCTTCGTTCGTTGTGAATCAGAAAAATCGAATCATTTAATTGTAATATTGGTGTTCGTGAATAATTGAGGCAAATCTATGATCTTCTCAGTCGCATGAGAACATGCAACATTATCTTATCTTATATAAACAATTTCAATTATGACATAGTTGAACTTTGGTTTTCGCAAAAATGATTTTGAAGATGGATAGAATTTTGTTATTATTTTGCGTCCCTTCATCGAAGACATTGACAAATATTTTATAATCACGAGCAATTTTTTCTCCATGCCTTTCGTTTTGTTCTTCAATATCTTTGGCCTTACCATCATTTGGAGATGCATTGTCTTTGTCGATCTGATCAACATCATTACCATGTCCCGTTGACTTAACAGTAATGAACTGGCTAATTCTTTTCCTAAAGAAAAAGAAACATTTTGTTCTTCTCGAAATTGAACCTTCAGGATGTGGGCGTGGGAGTTATGAAATAATACTACTCGTGTTCTATAACAAAAAAAAGGTTTATTCTAGATAGAACAAATATAATAGATGAACACATGTTATGAACAACGTACAATAAAATAATATTTAATAGTTTAATTCAAATCGCACATATCGAAGAATTGAATAGTTTCTATAGTGCCAAAAATCCGTGAGGAAAGTAAATTCGAGTAACTTAACTATTTGTCAAACTTAATGAAATATTTTTTTGAAATGACAGGCATCACTGTGAAGTAGTTTTTGTTTTGATACGGACAAATTTCATAAATACTGTTCAAAGTCATTACTTTTAACTGAAAGACAAAAATCAGGCATTTTTCGATTTCCAAAAAATCACTACTCCGTGTTCCTCTCTTAATGCTTTAAGT